TGGTCCTATGTCTGACACAAGTAATTCCTGTACAATTTGAAGTCCGCAGGCTTTGACCAGTCTAAAACAGAGACGTGACTTTAACTTTGAGAAAGCTTACTGAAGCAAAATTATGGGATTCACAGCCAGTCACAAGTGAACCAACTCTGGAGCTAGAAATGCAATATCTGTGTAGCTGTGCTTGAGTTTCATAGGCTTTCTGAGAGCATTTGCTAGCTCCCTACCTCTGGTGTCACGCTGTGTTAACAAAGTTTTTAAGTGTCTGTTGACTTTTAAGCGTTTAAGCAGTTCTGCTGTTGCAGTGGCTTCTGTCAAATATGGAGGCTGTGGTGATGTGATTTAAATTAAGATAACTCTTTCAATCAAAAGGGTCCTCGTTAAGACATAAGGCTTTGCATAAAACATCAGAACTTGGTTGAACTTTAAAGCTGCACACACTTTAGGATTGCTTCAAATATATAACTTTGATATCTGAGTAGGGCGGAGTACAGAGGAGGTGTTTTAGTGATCTAATGCCTAAAAATACAAGTAGAGTAAGAGAAATCCAAATCTGGCAGCGGCAGCTGCACAGATTGTCAGGATGACTGCATTCATCGTGACTTTATGGTTTCAGTGTGGCAGTTCATCAGGGACTGATTTGGTCTTGGTTCTGGGTATGGAAGAGAGAGAGCTGGTAACTGGATTTTGCCAGTATGTGTTAGTGCTTGTGTTCTCTGTGCTGACTCCCTGCTAAACCTGGTAAGAATGACAGACCTATTGATCTTTATCTTCCAGTGTCAGTAATTTAGGATGATGAAGCATTTTGTCTTTGAGAACTTGTCAGCTGCAATGTGCCTGTGTGGTTTTAATTTCAGTATTGTAGATGTTAGGTGAACTGTCAAAACAAGGTGGCTTTTAATTACTTTTATACATATTTTTTACTTTCTGAACGGAATCTGTGCTTCAGCAAGCATTTGAGCACAACCCCACTTTTAGCACACGCAGCAGTTTTACTAGAGACGACTCTTTTCTTGCTTTAAGTTCAGTCCAGGCTTAAGGACTTGCCTTAAGCTGTGCTATTATGGAAAAAAATGCCAGTGTACTTCGTATATCTTCAGATGATGTTGTTCCACAGCCTCTTTGACATCTTTGTCCCTCTTAGTATAAGACACAGAGCATTTAAACTGCGACTTTGGCACTTGCTTCCTCACACACCCAAATTCTGTGCTGTGGCCAGTAACATAACGAGTCGGGCCCTCCTTTGGAGCATAGGACTAGAAAGTGAGAGGAGATTATAAGAAGTGTGAGGGGAATATAACTGAAAAATTACAGGATTATCCCTGCCTTTGAAAGCCCTTTGGGCCTGACAGGCACATGGTCCTCACAGCTGCAGGAGATTCATCCCATCCAGATTCATCCCAGAAGTCCCTGACCATAATAAAATGGTGATGAAGCTGGTGGTGTGCGAGAGCTGGCTGTGCCATGAAGCTTTGGAGAACAACACAAGTGCAGCACAAAGACTTGGTCTGTTCATTGAATGACTTGAAGGGCTTTGCTGTCTCAGCAGGAGTTTCCACCAGATTCTCTGGGACATCTTAGGATGACCTAAACCCTCCAGGAAAAGTCAGTCTCTCCAAGCAAGGCCTGATGTAATTCACTGTCATTGTCATTACCGTTAAGTAACCCTGATAGAGAGCTTACAGCTCTGTGTGTGTGACTAGAAATCCCATTGAAACAACCAATGTTTTAAATGGAGAGGATGTAATCTGTTTGTTTCAAGAGGTATCAGCGGCCAAATACCAAGCTTGGGTAATATTGGCAGGTGGCTCATTCCTTGGTTATTCGATGGGACAGAACTGGTTGAATCAGGTTGGTCAGACAAGAGGTACATCTGGTTAATGGTCTCCCTTTCTCAGCCGTTCATGAAGCAGAGGAAACACTGGTGAATGGATAGTTGACATGAAAGGTTTTTGCTGATAGCTGCTGTGTTGTCATAACCAAATCGGGACAATGTTCATGCAGTGTTAAATAAAAGAATGTGTTGTATATGTTTTAAATACCTCCTGTTATTTTGATGATAAACTTATGGAAACATCTTTATCATCCTTTCAATTATGACACTTAAATATAAACTCCCAGCTAGCTGCTTCCAAAAGTTCTGCATTTAGACTTCATAATTACTTACTCAAATGGGGATGAATTGCATGTGTTCATGCATAGCCTGGGATATTGGAAGTTTTTCCTCCTTGAAAAGGTGAGCGAGGTACTTGGAAACGTAGGATGACCTGTGCTAAGGATCAGTACCTTTACTCCATCTCAGTGCATGTGCACAGAGCTCTCCAGACTCGTCTTGGTGTGGAGCAGTCCCTGTTCTTCAAAAACAGAGAAAGGTTAGAGTCACCAAACCACATCAGATCTTTAAAACATGCAGCATATTCATCTTTGCTCTTTGAACCCAGAGCTTCTGACGCCTCACAGGGAGAGGAAACATCTCAATGATGCACGCAGTCAGTTCTGAAGAATCCTGGCAGTGGTACGTGTGGGATGATGCCACCTTGCCTGGTCAGCTTGCGCCTCTAGGGGAAAGGGTTTCTTGCACTTTCAACACCCATTGTGATGCATGTTTATGCTGGTCATAAAACTGTCTAGTATCGATTAAAACTGCAAACAGAGTCATTGCATCTGAACTTTCTGAGACAGCAAAACCTGAGAGCCAAATGTGGTGTGTATGGTGTAATAATTCCTTGTAGTTGTCTGCTCTTTGGTGCTTTGATTATCCTTTATTGGGATGGTTCCTTTAAACATCAGTACCATCTGATACTATTTTACTTGTATTTAGCTGAGGATAAAGATGTGTTTTAAATTACAGAGTAGCAGATTTTGGCATAGCGCACGCTTTCAGCCGCCACAGCCTGTAACTGTGGTGTAACAGCACACAACGTACTTGAAAGTAAGTAAATGTAAGTTTAGTTCAGATACAAGTTGCCATTACTTGTAGACTATATTGTTGAAGAAATAACTAGAATGCTATCATCTTGAATTCCAAAACTATCAAAATACCAGTTTATAGATCATCTCAAACAGAGGATGGAGAACACTGGTTCTTTCCACTGCTTAATGATGTGAAGTGCCCTAAAAATGCAGTGGTAATCCAAAATTCGATCTTTCAAACAGAATTTTCCTATAGAGCTTGTATGTGGTTGGCATACGTGTTGTTGGAATTGTCTGCATCCCAGTGATCTTTTACTGCCAGAAAATTAGAAGAATTGAAGACTGTACCACTTTGTTTTTTCTTTTAGAGCACCAGAATAATAAATATTTTTTTAAATTGAATTCTCCAGTATAAGGAGCTTCTGTAAATCAGTGTAAAGCTCATGAGTGATTTCCATAGAAGGAATCTGATACATGCTGTTCGGCAGATGTTGCCCATTTCCTACTGCTTCTTGGGTGAGGCAGGTTCTACAAATGTGGTAGTAAATTGTTCAGCTTTGTTGTGTTCTTACAGTCAGAATGCACATGATATGGTAGGGGTGGAAAGGCTGACATGTGCTTTTTTCCAGGCTTTGACTGCTGCTGGCAGATGCGGTACCTCATAGAAGTTGCCTGTTTTGCTTACACTCAGATGTGCTCTTCCCCTTTTAAATCACAGCACCGCTGCTGTTCTGTAGCAGCTGAGAGCCACAGCCTGGTGTCCGCTTGCTGTGTGCCCCGTTCCTGTGGTGTCAGCAGGCAGTGACTGCTGCAGGCAATGGGCTAATGGGATATTGCTGGAAGGTACCAGAATTACTTCTATAGAGGAAAAGTTGTCACAGAGGAGCCACTGAGCATGTGGATAGGTGTAGTCAATGTAGTCACTTGAATTTTCAAAAGGTTTTGGTAGGCTTATCAAAGGTTTTTAAATGAAGCAAAGCTGTCTTGTAATTAGAAGGAAAGATTTTCTAATGGATTAATAATTAGAAAGCAATAAAAATATATGGTTGGTTTATCAGTGGAGAAGGTTGCCTGTGAAGTCCCTCCAGGATCTTTGTTGGAATCTGTGCTATTCGACCTCTTCAGTAATGACCTCAAAAGAAACTGAATGTGCTGATGTTAGAAAGTTATTCAATATAATAAAAACTACAGGACTACAGGGACTTACAGAAGGCTCATCATTTACTCTGTATTGGGTGAAAAAATGGTTAGTTGAATTTTCATCACTATATGCTAACTACTGTCCACAAAACCCCACAGATTTTATTGTTTATACCGATGAGCTCTATATTAGCCATTGTTTTCAGAAAAGAGATCTTGATACTGCAGAAACATCACAAAGCTATCAGCTCAATAAGCAATCATGAAAGCAAATCAAAAGTTGGATTTAAAAAAAGTTGATAAGAAGCCACCACTGGATCTGCCCACATACCTAATGCTGCTTGCACTTCTGACTGCGTTTCAAGAAGGACTTAGTAGCAGGTGAAAAGGTATAGAGAAAAGCAGCAAAAAGGATCAAATGCATCAGAATTACTTCAGTAAAAAGGGAGACTACATAGACTGGGATTTTGCTGTCTGGTTAGAAGCTACTACTGGAGTAGTATAAAGTCAAGAATGGTATGGGTATGGGTAAGGAATAATTATTTGCAATTTCTCATAATTCAAAAGAAGAAAGGGGGGTTGAGAAGAGGTGTATAATTGCTTTTACCATCTGTTTCTCCAGTTGTATCAAGAAGAAAATCCAATGGGAAGTTTTCCAGTCTGTCTTCTGTGATTCAGAAAATAACTTTCTGTTTGTTTTTCTTACCTTCCTTTTTAAGGTCATTCTTGCCCTGTTCTTTCAATAGACGCACCTTTATTTTTCTTTAAATAGTCTTTATCAAGCAGAATATTTGATTTATATGTATTTTATATTATTATTTTGCGCCTTGTCCTATTCTTTGCTGTTTGTACACTGGTAGGGAATATCTTTCTGATACTGCTTATCTGAAAAGGCTGCTCTGCCCTTTCTTCCTTTCACGTTTCATTTTCCTCTCTCTTTGCTTCTGTAGATGACAAAGTCCACAATGGAGGAATCCAGCCAAACGTGCCTGGTGCCACAACCCAGCCTGTCCGATGGGATACCTCAGGTCAGCCTCCGGTTAAAGGACGGTGGTTCGTGTTGGAAGGAAATGGATTTAGCAGATGAACTCTCCTTCATTAACAGCGATTCATTTTTCTCCAGGTTAGTGCTCTTTTTTTGCCTTTGTGCTTGTTTCTTCTGTAACTGCACCTTCAGACCTGAGCATTAAGAAACCTTTTTTTTCCACTGATGCTTACAAAGTCAGTGTGCTGGGATGTGAGGCAAATTAATGTGCATAACCCTGTTGAAGCCACACGTTGCAACAGGTTCCTTAAAAAGCCAGCTGTGTGCTTTAGTTTGCCCTTCAAATACAAATTTTCAGGCTTATGAGGGTGGCCTGCTTGGTGAAAGAGTGCACGTGGACAGGACTGATCTAAGATCAGGCACTAGAAATGAAACCAGGCACAAGATGTAGATGTCTCCTGTGGATAATTAGGTGTATTTGATCTGCCCAGTTTAAGTCTTAACAGATGCCTGACTTTATTCCTGTTCTCAATCCAAAAAGGAAGGGGCTCTAGAGCCCCTTATTTTTCTGGCAGGAATGATGATATTACTAGTGCTGTTGAGATAAGACAGAGTAAAAGAGTATCTATATAGTATATAAAAGAATATCTATAGAGTATATATAAGAGTATATGTCTGAATTTATCCATGAGTCTGTCTGTCTAGAGCATCTATAAGAGTATGTATCTAAACAAGTATCTTGAGTTTTGGTTGCTGGCACTTTGTCAATGAGGTGAACAGGTAATGGGCAATTTGGTTTCTTGTAAAACCCTTTCCTGAATGTCAGGCTGAACCAGTATCTTTTTGTGGTTCTCAGGATACTGAATGGAGCCTGTCATTCCCTTTCTTCTCATGTCTAGTGCAGAACATGAGGGATTCGGGTTGCTGTGGGAAATTGCTGTATGCTGCTGAAATACGGGGTTGGCCTAATGTGGGAAACAGCGCTATTTACGTGTCACGAAACGGGACACCGCGGTGTCTCTGCATACCAGCACAGAACACAAAGCAGGGGCTGCGCTGCCAGACACGTAACTGAGTGACTTCACTCTGCAAGCAGGAGACGGCTGCTATTCTCAGCGCTAGCACAGACAGACAGACAGACAGACAGACAGTGCTCAGTTCACCGGACGAGTTAGCAAATTATGCACTAATACCAGATTTTGATTCATAATAGTAGTGGGACAAGTTAGGACATTATGGATTAACACCTGATATTGGATCATAATGAAGTGATGCATAGATGTCAAGTGCAGTTTCTAGCCCTTGCAGGCACACATGCTCTTTAACTTCTAACTGTGTAGTTTACTGTCCCCAGACCTGCCCCCAAAACTCCTGCAGCCAGAAGACAGCAGGTTCATGTACAGATCTTCACGAATCCAGCTCCTGTTGACTGAGATGAGGTAGGAAGCAATTACTGCAGAAGGTCAGCTGGCCAAACTGAGAAGACCAGTTCACTGAGAAGTACAGTTCTAGCAGCTAGAGAGGGCCAAGCAGATGGGGCTGGGTCAGAAGTTACAGCCTCTTACATTTGTTATAATGGAGCTTGGCAGAAAGCGTGCCCCTGCCTGTACTCCACTACGTGTTGCAAGGTGTAAAGGGAGATCAAGTGCTCCAGAATTTCAACAAAAGACTGCTGAGTCTTATGTCTGGGAAAGTATGTGTGACCAAGGTAATTAATGAGGTGCCCCCCAGAAATTGTGATTCTTTTAGGAGAACATTCCCTAAAAGATGTAATTCTTTGCTGTAGGAATTTGTACTTTCCCGACAATGCGTAATTCCTTAGAAAAGTACTGTTGAAGCATGGAATGGTTGGGCTAGTACTGGCACAGGACATTAAGTACCAAATGGGATGTGTTTTAATTAAGTAAAAGCCTAATCTCCATGCTCAGGCCTTGAGATGAAAGATACGTGCATCTCTAATTTTATCTGGGAAATTAATAGGCTGTAGAAATGAATTCTCTTGTAATACCATTTTGTTCAAGAATGGCCTAATTTTCTGTCCTGCATCACACTTCTGTACATATTTACCTAATGGGGTTGAGTATCTGCACTGGTGTTAGCTTCCAGTGCTTTTTCTGTCAGTGATCTCCTGCTGCCAAGGCAGGATTAGGCAGTGCTGGCTGTTTCCTGCCCAGCTGCAGGATGGCAGCTTGTTGGGCAGGACATTTGGAGAGGAGGCCCTGGACCACCCCTGAGAGGAAGAGGGGAGAGATGTCTCTAGCAGACCTAACACACTTGGGGGACAGCTGTCTGTGCAACAGTCAGAAACCCCGCTTCCCTGGCAGTAATCTAGTCCTGTGATACATCAGGAGTGGTTTAAACATGCTTTTGGCAGCCTAGTGTAATCTAAGCTCTCAGTGCGGTATTACCTGGTATTACTCGGTGTAAGGCTACATTCGAGTTTTCGCCTTTTTCAGTAGAAGGACTCTGGCATCTGACCCAGACTATAAAGTGCTTTGCAAACACACTGCTATTCTTGTTGGGGGGTTTTGTGTCACAAGGTACTAATAGTTCTTAAATAAATGTTATCATTAATTGTATGTAATTATCAGATACGGTTTAGAGAAATTACTGGATCTGCCCAGCTATCATATGATCTTTGTTAGAAAAGAATAAAGGTTGTTCTTGGCAGTGATAATCATTTGCTGTTTCATGAAAACGCCTGTGGTTTTTTCCCTTTCTGTGCTCAGATACCATGATATGGGTGGATTAGAAGAGGATGGAGGGCTACACAGAGCATTAGATGCAGAATTCCACCTTTAGCAGGCTCGCAAGTGTGACAGTGAAGAAAACACCACACACACTAAGCCCATAAGGCCTCCTCCAGCAAAGACTGTAATCTTTAACAAATCTTCAATCAGTTTCATTTCACAAAAACAGAGATCTTCAGGGAGAAAATGAGAGACTTCTGGTTGATTAGTAATTTTTTAAATACTATTTAAAATACCTCTCAGTATGTGTCTTCATACAGTTGACCTTAGAGTGACGATCTGCGTATTAAGTAGCAGCTACAGTTGTGACTTTGTCTTCTAGAATGGCTTACTAGTTTTTTAAATATTGAAAGACGTGTTATGCCTCCTTACAGGTATGATACATTCCTCATGACAGGAAATTTTTTAAGGTGCTGCTGTCATTTGAGGTATGTGAAATATCAGTTGCAGTCAAAACATATTTCAGAGCATAAAATCTGCACCACCTTCTGCTCACAACTGTTATCTTAAGATAATGACATTTGTAAAGTTGCTATGTTCTTTTTTTCTGACCAGAATAGGTGGATTAACTACATGTGCCCATAACCCCCACTAGCACATAATGTATGTGTTCTCTTGAAAACTGCCTCATTATTATAGCTGTGTGCCAAGGGCAAACAGGTAATTATGCAGCAGCAGTAAGACATAGCTGAAACACAGTCTTCAAGTAAATCCCAAAACTGTGGAGAAAGAAAGGAAGGACGGGGCAGGAGAGAAGAGACTGGTCCTCTGAAAGAAGGATGAAAGTCTCCAGGCGATATGCAGCCTGTTTCTGTGAGGCTTTTCTCATTTTCGCAAGAGCTCCTGTGCAGAGCTTCAGAGCAGGGCAGCTGCACTTCCAGACCGTGGGAAACACATACATATTTTATCTTTACCCGGTTGAAAGCCACAGGACCCACACCACAGACCTCAGGAGCTGGGGGAGGCAGCAGCTTTGGGACTAGGAGGGAATGGGGCTCCCTGGGGCCTCATGGGCCCCCTCAGTGAGAGGGGTCTAGGTTGGGCTTGCAGCTCTGTGAAGCTCAGAGTCCTTGTTTGGGTCCCTCTT